GGGGGGGGCGCAGAAATAAAAGAATTTAAGGATGGCGATCAGCATTTAAAAAGAAAAGAAAAAAAGCGAAAATAAAAAAACGACAGAAAGACCAAAATAAAATCCCAGAAAAAACAGGAGCAAAAGTATCAGAGGGGATCGGAGGGGATTTGTGGGGGGGGGGGAAGAGGAGGAGGTAGAATGTCAAGAGAGAACTCTCGACTCAGCCACGTGCCACGTGGCATGTGGCACGTGGCAGACATCCGTCAAAAAAAAAAAGGAGCGGAAGAAAACCAGGGGTGTGGGAAGGAAAGGAGGGGGTCCCGAAAAATAAAAAATAAATGAAAAGTAAAAAAAAGGAAGGGAGAGGGGGGGGGGGGAGGAGGAGGAGGAGGGAGAATATCGAGAGAGCCGGTCGTAACTCAGCCACGTGGCAGACATCTGGCAATCACATGACAGAATCCTGATCCGAATCCACTCCAATCTGAATTCAGCTCAAATCCAATCGAGATCCAACTACGGGCTGGCAGGGCATTCTCAGGGCATACTCACACGGGGACCAAAAGAACCAAAAATTTGAGGCATCTGGGTACGGTTATTTGGGTCATTTGGTCCCTGTGTGGTCACACGAGCGGACTTCGTCCAGAAAGGAAGGACGAAGTCACAACCCTGACACTTTGCACTCAGGGCAAGGTCCTGTGGTCACACGAGGGGACACCAAAGAAAAGAAAAAGAAGAAAAAGAAAAAAGAAAAGAAAACAACTTCGGCTGGTTGTCTTATTCTTCTACGATTTTCTACAAATTGAGGAAAGGAGAAGAAAAAAGCGTTTGGTCATTTGAGACCACCTCTGGAGGTGGTCTCAAAAAGGGTACCCCCGCGGCCTCAGGCCACTGACATTTGGTCAGGATTTGAGGCATTTGGGTACAGGGCCAAACCCCGTGTGACCACAAAAATGCCTCAACTTTTGGGATTTTGGTTCATTTGGTCCCCCCTCACACGGCGAACCCAAAGCCGCAAAATATGCGGATTTGGGAAGGGCCGATTTGAGGTTTTGGGTATGGTTCACGTCACACTGCTGTACCTTTTCAGATGGGACAAGGTCGCGGCCGTCTCGAGAAATGGGGATTTGGTACTTGGCTGGTCACAGGGCGCCATCTACCAATTGTGCAAGAACTTTTGTGAACAAATTTTTGCCAATTTTTGAAGAAAATGCAAGAAATAAAAAAGGGAATTTGCAGTCACCTCCAGAGGTGACCGCAAAATCCCTTGATGGGCACTGGAATAGTACATTTGCGAATTTGGTAGATCCGTGTGACCGGCCTTTTCCCCTTTTTTTTGGGATTTTGGGATGATAGGTCCCCGTGTGAGTATGCCCTCAGCCTAGGACTTCCTCGAATGCGTCTGACTGCAAGTCTGACCACGTTCAACTCCCCCATACCTCGCAGCCAAGAAACTTCTGGTTTTTTTTTTTTTTTTTTTTTTTTTTTTTGGGCAGCCAAGAAACTTCCTCACCTGGGGTCTGGTCCCACCTACGGTTGTTGAATGTTGAGTTCAGAAAACTCAACGGTGTGACGCCATTTCGACATTAACATATTTGAAACAAGAAATAAAAAAACTGAAAAAAATGCTAGAAACAGCTTTTCTCCTTATTTTTTATAACGTTACTCCGAGAAATGAAACATGTCTGGAACAGTCGGAGTGAACGTCTCCGTGAAAAAAAGGATACTCCCCGTGGTGAGGGGACAGGAGGTCACCATTTGTAAAATGGACAGGGACGACGTGGATGGCCAAATGCATTCATTGCCCAAAGAAGGAAACGAGTTGGATGCCAGACAGCCAAACACAGCTGTCAGAGTTCCTCCGTTTCAGGATGCAATGAGGACTTAAAAACAAAAAAAGGAAAGGCACTGAAGTTGAGAAATGTACCCTGCCTTTCCTAGATCGAGTTTTACGCGGATCGCCGCCCGCAACGAAGGAAAAGTCCTGAGTGGGCAGGCAAAACTCTCTGGGAGTGGTGACAGGAGTATAGAGGTGCTCAGAGGATGCAGATCTTCGTGAAAACCCTCACGGGTAAGACTATTACCCTTGAGGTAGAGGCATCGGATACCATCGACAATGTGAAGACGAAGATTCAAGATAAGGAGGGRATCCCTCCTGATCAGCAGAGGTTGATTTTTGCGGGGAAGCAGCTTGAGGATGGACGCACTCTTGCGGACTACAACATCCAGAAGGAGTCGACTCTGCATCTTGTGTTAAGGCTTCGCGGCGGAGCGAAGAAAAGAAAGAAGAAGACCTACACGAAGCCGAAGAAGATCAAGCACAAGAAGAGGAAGGTCAAGCTTCCCACCCTTCAGTTCTATAACATTGATGACACAGGGACGGTCACTCGTCTTCGGAAGCAGTGTCTGAATCCGGAATGCGGGCCGGGAACTTTCATGGCCAACCATTTTGATCGACACTACTGCGGGAAGTTTGGTCTCACGTACGTGTACCAGAAGGCCTCTCAGGACTAAGGTTGGGGGCGCGTCTTTTGTTACGTTTGCGAGGCTGGCGGCACATCTTTTGTGGTCTATGTGAGGAGAAAAATGGACGTAGCGAGGAGGCAGGGGCAACTATCTATCTACAGTCGAATTGTCAGTTGAAGTGGCGAGGAGATTGCTTTCTGGGGGTGCGTACCACGAGCAACAGCCTAGACGCTGTCCGATGAGCGTTACTTAAGCGAATCGGTCTTAGGGTTTCGAGTTTTCGACTAAGTATCCAACTGGAAAGTGAATCTGGAGAACTTGGATCCCATGCCTGTGGCTTGGATGTCCTGTTATGTTGACCTGGCTCTCGAGTTTTGAATCGTTCTGAGACTTACCGAGTCGTTATACACGCCATATTTGCTGATAAAAAAAAAAAAAAAAAAAAAAAAAAAGTACCCTACCCTCGGTAGGGTAGTTTTCTCAACGGAAAATGGCCC